ATCTCCACTGAGATTGGGACATCTAGCTTATTTTCTCTGTGCATTAGTGTCTACCAATTCTTGAGAGGAGGTGTGGCATCCTTTGCTCTCAGTGGGAACAAACTGCACTATTGCCTCTGGAATGGCATGAACCAGCATGAATCTTAATATATTTTGTCATGCTCTGTTCATGTACTCAGTATATGAGTGAAGCAATGTATAAGTGATGTTTTTTTAGAAAAAGCAACTGTAAAACCATTTATAAAGAATGGCCTATTGTATTTTAACACTTAATGTTTGCCTGTGGTTTTCTATGAGCTATGGAGTAAGAGTAGAGGAAAAGCTGACTTTTTGACCATTTTTCTTTGTTTCTTTTGGTCTATTGCATTGGGTCAAAGATTTAGGGAGAATGACGACATTGAGTCAAGTTTTGGGAAAAGAGGGTGAGTTTCAACGTATTCATTCTGACAGCTTCTTGTCCTGAAAGAATTCATCTTGTATAACTTTACAGAGTGTTCTTTTGTATTCCCCTGCCCTCCCCCACCAACCTGGGGTGTCTCTAGAGGTTAATACACTATTCTCAAAACTAAATAACACTCAGAGAGCCTCAAAGCACCAGAGACATTGGGCTGCTTGGGGTGGGGATTGGCCATCAATACATATCTAGACCAGGTCAATAGCAAACGAAGGCTGTTGTCTCATAACAGCTGTTCAGTGGCCTCTGTGAAATGAGGTGGTGGCTTCCCTCCAGTTTCTGGACAGCTGTATTCCTCACAGAAAGCACTGCCACAATTGGCATTAACTGGCTCTCTTGCTTACAGCCTCCTCAGGCAGCTCATTGAATCTTCTCCTCTTTTCTCCCTGCTTCTTTCTCCTCTCCACCCTCTTCATCTTCTTTCTCTTCATTTCTCCTTTCCCCTTCCTCTTGTCTTTTCCCTTTTCCTTTCCTTCTCTGTCTTACCGTAGGTGGCCTGGAAACAAAAGAGTAGCAGCCTTTTCTGAGGGAAGAATGCATTAACACCTCAGCCTGTGTTTTCTGCCAGGGCTTGTGAAGGGACCTAAGAGGAGCTGTTGGGATAGAATGCTCCTACCTCCCACAGCGTCTGCCTTCTCTGCCCCAGCCCTAAGTTGCTTTGCTCAAGGTGTGTCAGAGTTTACTCTGGGGTTGTGTATTTTATCCATTGAGGTGCTTTCATCACAAGGCAGGGAACACAGCTCTGTTTGTAGAATGGACGGGCCCCACAGGGAATTTTGAATGACTCAGTAGTTGTGGTATAAACCCTTCATTATAACTCCCTCTTGGGCACAACCAGGAGTTACTAGAGACAGAGGGTTGCACAGTTTTTGGTTTCCTTCTCTGATAAGAAGGGGGTGGTGTGTATGGCAATCATATTCCCAAACCTCAAATAAACATACCTGTCCTGACTAGGCATTTTTTGATTTATAATCTATTTATCTGACAAGATTTTAATAAAGGAATAATCAAACTCCATTTTTAAACTATATTTAACAAATTGTTTGAATTTTAGAAGGAATAAAATTCTATGAAATAAGACTTCTTAAAAATCCACAGCATGAGTTATTAACTTGACAGAATTCTTTGGATGCTCTTTGGCTCATTCATAGAACAATAATGTGATAGCAGTGATAGCTTCTATCCCTGAAATTTCCAAGTCTGCTCTCAAGTTATTCAACTTCATGCTCTCAGTCTCAATTTGAGTCAAAAAGCAGACCAAAGGAACATTTACCACTCATATTCTTATTTTTTCCAACCAGAAGGAAGCAGTGGTTGATATGATGCTCTCTTACTCTGGAAAGAAAAAACAATTAAACAATTTTACAGTGGTTCTACACTTACTAAAATACCCAAAGCATTTTGCCCCAGGCTGCCTCTGTTTAGAATTTAAAACCTGTGTACAACATTGTATGGAGAAATTGAACCAATATGCCACACATTGGTTTGCAATTAGCTCATTACAATGTTGATTGCTAAGAAAGCTTACATGGCCAAGAAGATATCTAAACCTTTGAAATGACCATATGAAATCCAAACCAGGAGCTTGAATTGGGGCAATATTAAACAGATGTGAAATCCCAGATATCCTTTGCAATTTAGAAGGTAAAATAATTTAGCACAACCACTTTTGGCAAGGGTTTCAATTTTCAGAGTATGACCAGGACCCACAAACAGTTATGTAAGAAAAAAGTGAGGTTCAGTGTTGGGGAAAATATCCTAACATCAGCTTTGATTCTACGGCCTTCTGAATCCACTTTCCCTCATCTATATGATGGGGCATCTATATGATACTCTGTCACCATATGCATTATTTTTGTTACTTCATAGATATAAAATGACTTGAAAATTAAAGTGATGAATAACTATTAATAATTAGAACAAGCAAACCATGTGTAAAAAATATCTTTGGAGAAATGTAATTTCTAGAATGGACAGATTGTATAACAGGTAAATGAATGGCTCTCAGTTTTGTGATTCATTTATTCATTCATTTAAAAAATGATGGATGAAATCTTAAAAATGATACAATCAGATTGGCTATGTGTCTATTTGTTCTTCCATTGAAAAAAAAAAACAAACAATCCTCACATACATTTGACTTTGGAAGGAAGGAAGGACGAGAGAAAGAGAAAGGAAAGTAAAAAAGAAAAAGTCATTCTGATTTATAATCATTTGTACTTTGGATGTGCCTTGAACTTTGCATTTAAAAAGAAAGTGTTTTTCTGATTTTCTACCAATCCCCCTCCTTGGCTTGCCATTTCTAATCATAACTTTCTCCTTGAAAGCAAATGACAAGTGAGGAAAAATTGGTGTATGGCTGCTAAAGCCTCTGCCTTAAATGAGCACTGCTTTCATTCAAACGGGTCAAAGTGAATGTCTGAGAAGGGGTGAGATTTTAAGGCTTGAGCAGTGAGTGGAAGTGTCATTTACTGATTCCACACCTTCTGTCATGGTGGAGTGGGACTTCATCTGGCACTTTAGCTTTCCCATCTACACTAGTTAAAATACGTTGTTATCACCTCCTTCTCTTTTTTTTCCCCCTTCAATAAGGATATTGAGAAGATTGAGAGAATGAATGGAGTAAATGTATGTCATGTATATGAATAATATCCTTTTCCTAACAATGTACACTAGTCACAGGAAAACTTTTTCTATGTGGCTCATATTCATTCCTCTAAGCTCTGAAATCTTGCCTCGGAATTTAGTCCATGGAATGTAAATCCAAGATTCATAATGGGCTAAACCAATGAGAAAGATGAAGGTATCCGTTTTTTTTTAAGACAATAGGGAATGGCCAGTGTTGTGTCCATGGGGAGGGTCACATCCAAGGCCAGCCAGGTGTACAATTCTGGGACACCACAGTCATATCATATTGTATGTGAATGGTGCCCCCTAGTGTGGAGTAGTGCGTACCCTGCCCATTGGTCCATTCAGTTCACCCACCTTGAATTTACTCTGTTCCAGGAATGGTTCTAAGTGGTGGAAGACAGCAGTAGAGAAAGCAGACAGGAATCCCTGGTCTCATGAAAATTGAAAGCATTCTCACTGTATTATTTTTTTAAAGGCAAAAGGCACCAGGCCAATCAAATAAAATGCATATATGTATAGAATTTGGCCCATTGGCCCACCAATTCATGACCCCTGCTTTAGGCTTTTAAATTATTTCTGTGATCTTGCAGGTTTTCGCCACAGCGACAAACCATAGAAATGTACTGACCCACAGGTTTGCATCTCCTGCTTAGCTCATGCTTAGTGAGAGCAATATGTATATACAAAAGTCAGCTAATTAATTTTCAATTTAAATTCGATTTCCCCATCCCTGGATCTGTACTTACTACTACTTCTCCCATGAAAACATAATTCCTAAGGTGATCTGTTAGGTAAGTGAGGAAGGAAAACTAGAATGAGGCAAGGGTCATGGCATTCTGCCAAAGCGCTGTCTGCCTAACTACCCATCGCTCCTGGAGACTAATGGCAGAGGTGAGCAATGTTCACTGTGGCTCTTGAACCAATTCAAAGTCTTCTCCTAACCACGTACAAATTTAATTTTTTTTTTTTTTTGCAAGGAAATAGGAAGAGTCCCTAAAGCTTCAGGTCTCTTAGGGATTATGTTAACAGAAGCAGGGAAGAGTACAATTGAAAGAGCTCACATAAAGAATTTATTTTTCAGTCTTATGGCATCTTAATGCCATGTGACAAAAAGTTTTAATTTAATCTGCATATAGGCCAAATGGAACAAAAAAAAAGGAGTTCTGATCACTTTACTTTTATGTCTGTGTGGAAGATTTTTCTTTCTTTTTCTTTTTTTCTTTTTCTTTCTTTCCTTATTTTTTCTTCTTCTTCTTCTTCTTTTTTTTTTTTTTTTGTATTGGAAATTTCAGTAAAATTGAAAACTTGTATTAATTTTCTGCAAGAAGCTTTAGAGAAATGCTGTGATGGTACTCAAAGAGTTTAAAAGTTTCCACCTCAGAACTTTGAATTTTCTTAAATAAGATCATGACTCAAAAATATTTAAAGAACCTAGGTCACAAACCTGATGAGAGACTGTCAGAGTAGAAAGGTATAAAGACCAAATGTAAGCATATACATCTTCCAAGAACTAGAGCAAAGACCTTCCATGAGGACTCTTCCTCTTGATCTACCTGCTTTCCAGAATCCTTTCCTTCCCAAACCCCTCATAAATGAACGATAACAATAATAATAATCAGAGGAGAGAGTGTTTCCCTATCAATCTGCACGTTACATTAAATTACTTTTCCCAAAATCTGGAAGTATTTCCTGAAAACTGGCAAAGGTATTAATTTTTTTTCTCTCTCTCCCTCTCTTTAAATCACAAAGCAAAATTCCACTGTCCCTCTACCCCCCCCCCCCCCCTCCTAAAAAAAAAAAAAAGTTGTCGAGTTTTGCTTTTCTATTCACTGCAGTTCTGGCCAAAGTAAAGCCCTCTTTCTCAATGACGTCAAGATCTTTACCAAGATTAGGCTTTCATTTCTCTATTGCAGCAATTAGCCAGGGAATGTATAAAAGGCTTCAGGGAGACTCACTGGGCTGCAGAGAGAGAGAGAGAGAGGCACTTTGCACCACAGACAGATAGCACGAAGGAAAACGCAGAGCGAGTGAGGAAGAGAAGAGTCCGTCGCTCCTGGGGAAGGGAGAGAGAGACAGGCTGGGAGAAGGAGAACAGAAAGTGTGTGTCAAACGGAGTAAAGAAGGGGAAAAACTACCCTTCAAGCACATTTTTGAAACTCTGGCAACTCCAGAAAGAAACGGGCTACGTTTCTGAACATTAGAGACAATGAAAAGCTAAAGAAAATTTTGCAATCTCTGCCACAGTCTCATAGGTGCTTAGAAATGAAAGTAGAGCTGCCTGTCTGTCACCGACTCTGAGAGGGGTGACTGGATTAGGGACGGGGACGCCAGTTTGTGTGTGGGTTGTTTTTTGTTTTTTGTGGGGGTTTTTTTGTTTTTGTTTTTTTAACATCTTAAATCCTGAAAAAAAAAAAAAAAAAAAAGGCAGCAGCTCCGAATTGAATGAATTGATGGGCACACTCCAACTGCTGGGCTGCAGAGACTGGACTTGGTCTTGCCATTTCTGCTTCTTTGAAAGAGGAGACAACTTGGGCTTCCTTTTAATTTAGTTTTTCTCCTTCTCCCCCCACCCCGGCCTTCCCCTTTATCTCCCCCACCCCCTCTATCACCACCCCCCTTTTAAATAAGAGGGTGAAGGGGAACCAGAGCGCACAAGGGAACTGACTGGGAGGCAGAGAAGATGGGCATCCTCAGCGTAGACTTGCTGATCACACTGCAAATTCTGCCAGTTTTTTTCTCCAACTGCCTCTTCCTGGCACTCTATGACTCGGTCATTCTCCTCAAGCACGTGGTGCTGCTGCTGAGCCGCTCCAAGTCCACTCGCGGGGAGTGGAGGCGCATGCTGACCTCAGAGGGAATGCGCTGCATCTGGAAGAGCTTCCTCCTCGATGCCTACAAGCAGGTGAGCTGCCCCGACAGGGGCTTCTCCCCCGGTCAGCAGGGGCAGGGGCTGGCGAGCGAGGGACCGCAGGCCCTGGGGAGCATCGGGCTGGGATCCTGGCGCGCTATCTAGGCTCCTGGTGTTACGCTCAAGGGAGCCCCTACCTGTGCCTTCCACACCTGTCACACAGGTTAGATTTGGGGATGACAGGTATTAAGCGGTTATGACTCTGTGCCACCTAGTAAAGACGCTTTCTAATAAGAGCCATTAATGTCTTGATGCAATTTTGGAAGAGAGGGTATTTGTGCCCGATGAGTAGCTTTGGGAAAAGTCAGAAAATGTTGGGGGAGGGGAGGAGACCGCTGCATTTAACCTGCTCTTGTAACAAACTTGGATTTTGATGTTTTGCTTGATGAGAGGCTGGGGTGCGCTAGGAAAGACAGTTCAGTGCTGGGCACTGAAAAGCGAGGGAAAAAAGAAAATGCTCCTCAGAACCCTCAGAGTTAGCAAGCCTTAACAAAATGGTCACGGCGGGTAAGATTTGGCATAAAAGCCCCCTTGTTTCTGGTAGAGGTAAGAGTTAATGAAAGCAGCCCTGTGTGCAGCGTCCTCCTCTGGGTGGACGTTGTTTTACTTGAAGGATAGTTGACATACAATGTACAAGTGTACAACATGGTGATTTGACAATTATGTACATTAGGAAATGTTCACCATGAAAAATATGGTTACCATCTGTCACCATACAAAGTTATTACAAACTTATTGACTATATTGTGCTATACTTTTCATCCCCATGGCTTATTTGATTTGAACCCTTTTGAAGTGGTTATAAGGCAATGAGTCCTGGGTAACTAGATATCAATTTGCAATAGGAAGAGCTGTGAACTAGCTGTCAGAAATCCAGACTTTGTATGGGGAAACCACATTTGCCTTCTCAAAAGTAAAAAAGTTGTCCTAGAAAGAGCAGATAAGTCTATGGTTCATTACAGTCTCAAAACTGTTACAACACATGCGTTGAGCACCGGAGCAGTGGCCTCACTTAGCTGCGGAACACACATCCCAGGGCTCCTTCTCAAAACCAGACCTGGTGATCTTTGTTTCTAAGACTTGCCTTTTGGCTGCTTGGAGATGTTGGTAGGACATCCTCAACTCCGATCTCAAGGGCCAACGGGGGGCATTTTGGCACTGGTCCTTTGTCAGTTGGCACCTCTGCCTATGCCCACGTGACTCCTGCTGATCTCTGGGCTTAAGAATGGACTCACTTGGCAAAAGTTGCTGCCAAAGTAGACAGTCTTGGTTTTCCCCAACTGTACTGGGGGACCTCGTCCCAGATGGCAGGGAAGGGAATTTGAGAGGCATATGGAAGGCAATGAAGTGGTACATTGTAGACAAACAGCACCACAGAAGCAGGATGAAAACTCAGAATCAAAGAGGAGGAAGGGAAGACTCCCCCATAAATCAACCCTAGAAAAATAAATCTGTGCATGAGGAAAGGAAAAGGAGTAGCTTCTAGTCACAAAGAATCCAGAGTAGGTTTGTTCCACTGAAAATTAAATATTCAAGAAGGAAATATTCATTGTGAATTCAGGAAGGTTTACTACAACACACATCTTTCTTATTGAAAGCAACCTGCATCTGTCCTAAAGGCCAGATAATAGTAAGAGCTCTTGTTAGTAAGTGAAAATTCCTTTTTGATGATATGAAACAATGCTTAAAGTTCTAATCATATAATCTCCATTATAACATGCATGTTGGGCAAAGGGGAGATGATGGAGGAAGATACTGAGATGACCATTTCACTCCCACAAATGTATCACTGAATGTGAATTTTTTATGTTTTGACATGGGAGTAAAGAATTTGGAAGAAGGTGGAGAACACACAAGTATGTCAGGCACATTATGAATTAGGAAGTTCCCTCATCTACTCTGTATTTTGTAGGTGTTAGGAAGACAAAATGGAGATGCCAATGGCTTGAACTCAGCATATTAAACTCTTACTTTTTTGAAAGATGATTAACATTTGCCTATAAAAGAAAAGTCACTTCTCAGGAGAATTTTATATATGAATATGTGCTTACATAGATATCTCACATAAAACATGGGGGCTGTGCTGTTACCCACAAATATTAAGTGACATTGTTTTTCCTATCAAGCAGCTTATTGAAATAAAGAAGGAAAAACAAACAAATGTCTCTTCAATAAACTTGATTGTTTATTTTTTCACTGATATATAGCATTCCATTATGTAGCAATATTTTGTTAATTGTATTCCAAGAAATTGACAAGGACAAGTGATTTTTCTTTTTTTTTCTTTTTTTTTGCATATGGTTTATGTATTCTTCTCCTGTATTGTTTCTATTGATTTGATTAGTGACCAAGTTCATAGCTGATGTTATTATGTTTGCTTTTTATGATTTATATAATAGATACCATGAGAAGGAGCAAACCAGGAACCCATATATCCAGAGACAAGACTGGACTGGGTGTACAATGAATAGAAACATTGTGAACACAGCTTGCACTGAATTTAGGTCTCCTCTGTCTCCCAAGTATGACAAGGGTGGTGGTAGCTGTCGTGGCATTTGAGGGTCACTCAGAATCTCTAAAACAAGTTGAATGACTTCCCTGACTGCTGTTTTCATCTGTGACGCTGTCTTTGGGTGTGGCCATTTCCAGAGCCACACTGGAGGAAGTTTTGTGTGAGGTGGCACCATGGTATTTCGCAATGCCAACTTACGTTATTTCAAGGCCACCACCCTCAGAAGCAGAGATTTCTGGGAGGAGGGGTTTGCACACCTGTCATACACAAGGCATGTCATTTCTAATTCCCCTCGTTGAAGGTCAGATATTTGGGGAGATAGTTAGAGAAAGTGCAGTAAAAGTGTTATCCCTGTATTTGGCTCCTGGAGGGGGTGACAAATAAATTAAAATAGAACAAAATAAAAACAACCCTTCTTCATTAAAATGTTGAATGGAATTTAAAATTAATTCCAGAGTGGAACCTTTAAAGATAATTTGCTCTTGGTTATAGGGAGTTCCATGCATGGGTTTTGATGGAAAAAAAGTCTACGGAAACTTGTGACGGACAGAGGTGAATAACAGATGTTTGTTATTTAAGTTTTCCTAATCTGTGTCATTGCATCTAACACTGCATCCTTGTACTAGCACTCCTAGACTCGAAAATGCAACCAATAAGCAAACTCCCCTGTCTGGGAACCGGGCTCCTACCTAAATGAAGTGTAAAAGTAAACACACAGTATAGATGTTGACAAGCAGTTTAATTTCTATGCAGTTAATATTGCGGTAGAAATACAGAAAACATATTCATTTGAACATATAATTTTGGTCTTGAAAGGGTCTCTAACATCCTCCTCCTCTTCATTCACCTCCAGCCTTTTGACACTAGTTTCTACAATGGAAAGTAGCTCTCTTAAGAGAGAAACATTCTCAAAAGAACACAAAGGAGGCCCCAGCCAGAGTTTATCCATCACTTGGATAGAACACTAGGAAATGATACAGCTTAGAGCTGCATTTTCAAGGCATGCACCGAAAACAGAAGGACCAGAGAGGAGTTGAACTTGGAGGAAAGAGTCAGTAGCTCATTCTTCAACTCTGGTTTATTTGGCCAGTTGGAATGTACCTGGGTAAATTACTGTTTAATCATTGTTTGGCCATGTTTGTAAGGACACTGATGTAGCCTGGTCATTATGTCAAAGAATTTGAAATTTCTTGATGGTTAATAAAGCCATCCTAGGGCTTTTGTGTAGCAAGAAGGATGTGTAAATATTGTTCTGCCAGACACCCAACCCCCATTTTTATCATTTGCCTTACTTCCTATCATGAGATGAGGTGATATTTTGTCCAGAAGCCTTTCTAAGGCTGTGGAAAAGAGGAAAAAAAAAAAAAAAAAACAAGGTTAGTAGTATATGCTCTATTTCCAGCTTCTGCTTGATGAATGGTTCTTTTTTTCCCCTTGCCCTGCATTTCAGAGTCCACATGCTAAAGCAGTATTATCCTTTTCCCCATGCACTGAACATTGTCAGTAAAAGGAATCCTATCATCACAGGAATCAAATTTATAGGCCATATATTTACCCTCTTGTTCATATTTATAAATATGGCTATCACAACATTTGCATTCGGCCTGGAGAGGTCATGTGTTATAAAAATGAAGCCCTTTATTTACTCCCTTGTTGGTGTTGTGTTGATGTTGATTACACAAACATAGGAAAGGACAACTGTAATAGCGCAGATGAGAGAGATAAAGTCAGTGATGACGATATTACATTTTACGTATGTCCTTTCTGATCCTTGGAAAATAAAGGGACCCTTTGGGAACATCGGAACTTCAAGACCAATTAGTGGAAATGATGCTTCTTGTGTTTGGGCATTAAATACTGGGCAGGGTTCTCTTTAGAGCAGCTAATGCTGGCAGGGAAAGAGGTACCGACCTAATTACTCTTCCGCAAGAGTAAAAAATGCCTTTTGAATGCCTCTTTGGCAAATATGTCTCATTAAGGACAAAAACCAAACACAAACCCTCTAAGAAGGAGAAATTAAGATGATAGGTAACTTGTGGCCAGGAGACTTTCTGTGCCACTGTGGGAAATTAAAACAAAGTTTGAGAGTACCAGGGGATAACTTGTTTTTGTTGAGCTTCTTTCCTGCAGCCTAAATGTTATTATGGGACCAACTTTATTTTCTTCATCATTTTGGCTCTTTGTCAAGGAATGCTTTGCTCCTGGGGAAAGCAAAGAATCTTCCATCATTGAAGACAATGGTGATTCTCCCATTCCATCTCAGCAGGGCATATAACTGAGCAAACCAAGAAATTCTCCACTTGAAACTCTGTTCATAATAGGAATTTAATTTTCACGGAGATCAAATGGGAAGATGAGAAATGATATTGGTCTCAAATGGCAATTGAGAAAGGACAGTAATGTCCTTTTAAAAGATTTATTTTTGTTTGTTTAAAGTGAACTTCCATTTTTTTTTTAATTTCTGAAGTTTTTTTTTTCTTTATTGTTGCTAAAGTGTCATCAGCAGGTTTTAGCAAAGATGGACAAATTTTATGATTAGTATATGATGTTTATAAAAGTAGACTACTGGTCTACTCACACTGAGACTTACAAATAATGGGTGTGGGGTTTTTTCTCCCCATGTAGTTTTATTAATATCTTTAGTCTTACCTATGCATTTTCTCTAACCTAGTCATCTTCATGAACACGCTGTTTATGACATTCCAATCTGCAGTAGGGTCCCATGGCTGCAGAGCAAAATAAAAAGTATTGGCTTCTTTGATTTCATACATTGGGAGCCAAGATAATCAAGAGCAGATCAACAGTATTCGGTGTTGATTATGGCAGAACTCTACAATAGGGCTCCAGGATTCACATTTCTGAATTATCTGACTCAGTGAACATATCCATCACCCAAACATAATTATGTTCATTGCAGGTCTAGGTTATTATTAAGTGTAAAATTTTTCACTGACCCCTAGGATTATAATAGCTATCATTCATTTACTAATTCATTCAACAAAATTTCCAGCTTAATAAAATGCCAGTGCTGCCCTCGGCACTACACACACACACACACACACACACACACACACACACAAGCATTATGTATTTGGTAACTTTTCTAATTTTTAATTTGAGAGTGAAGGTATTGTACTTGTTTGAAATTTTCTAAGTCTATACTTTGAAAAGAATTATGTGGCTGAACTATAGACATTGTCACTAAGAGGAAGGAGAAGGTACTTTAATTTTCTAAGAAAATTAACTGCAGGTAATATGAGAGCCACCTGTGACAGAAGCATCAGATGAGATTATTCAGTTGAATAATCAGGAATAATGCAAAATCAGCAGTTCTGCTTGGGTGAGAGTCAGGGGCATCAGAGGTCTTTAACATGACTCCAAAAACCAGATGGTTGTTTCCACCTACCAAGAACCTACAAGTCTGTAGTCTAGAGATGACTTTTCTTCTGTGAATGGGTTGTTGACTTCACAAGAAGTCACTACAGCATTTAATGGATTTAGAGTGAATGCATTCAGATCTTTATATCACAGTATGTTGAGGAACACAACACAGTATCATTGAAAGCAGCCCTTCTAGAGCTGTTACTGATAGTTTAAGTGGGAAAAATCTAATGAGAAGGTAGGTTAAAAGATATATAATACCTATAAAGTGTGTATCTTTAAATTTTAAGCATATTTTCATACCTCAGAGATGTGTGAGGTGTTATTTTACCTCATATAAAATAACCCAGCTGAAAGTGGTTTATAAGATTTCTCCATCTAGGGTAACTTGCAAATTAACCAAGAAAATTAATATAAACAAAGTAACTTTCTCCCTGATAGTAACTAAAAACAAATGTACTTATTTAAATAATACCAACAGCTTCCTTTTCTAAGAAAGAAGATTGTTATTTTAAGATTTTTAAAAAACTAATAGTATTGTTTCAAATCTGCATTGCTAGGATTTTTCAGAAGGGAGAGAAAGAACTTCTTTCCTTCTTTCTCTACAGTTAAAATGAGTTATGCATTCACATTAGATAGAAGCTTCTGAATGAAAGCCCTTGAGTATTTTACATCAGTTTGGATTGTTGAGTCTTTAACAATTTACTTCTAAGTGACTTCAATTACTAACAGTGTTATATGTGGCTGTATTTATATGAGGGAAATAAGTCGATCCAGTTGGGAGTGTTTTGTAATATTAAGTATAGCGTATAAAAATCAACTGGGCTGTCGTAAGTTGTCCGTAATGTTATTGGCTTTGATTAAACCATACTAGGAGAAGATCTGATTGTGTTAATTCAAACTGAAGTAATTGGTTCTTTTATGTTGCAAGCTTTTTATTATCAATTTACAGATCCAAAGGCCAGCAAACTTTCCTTCATTCTGTGTTCAGCTATTTAAACCACTTGCAAAGGGGCATGTGGAACAATTTTCTTCTATACCTTCTTTTATACCTGCCTGAGTATTTTAAAATGCAGAGGAGCTTGTTAATAGAATGTATGATAGAAAAGTAAATGGTTTGTGATTTCCTAGATAAAAACAGGAAAACAAAACAAAAACCCATGAAAAATGAGGAATTAAAATAATTCTGGAATAATTCTATGTTTCTATTTCATTTGTTTAATGGAAATGAACTCATTTCCATTACTTTTGGGTTATGGAAACCCAGAAGTAAGTGGTAGCTCAAGAAACCTCTAGAAAGGACATCATCCTGAGAAGAGATCAAATTACTTCTGAGGATAGTCTTTTTTTTTTTTTTAAAACATAGAGTTTCCCAGAAAGATGATATGCTGTTTCATATATTTGGGTAGCATTTAATAATGGAACCTATACTCACACAATGATTTATAGTATACAAGAGCTCATTTTCTTATGTTGTAGCCCTTATAACTGTCTGAGGAAGACAGGCATTATTATCAGCATTTTACAGATGGAAAAACTGAAGCACTGAAGAGGTGAAGTGGGAGTAGCCCTTCTAGTAAATGGTGGACCTCAGATTTCTAGCTCTGTCCAAGAATTGAGCCCATTGGTATCATTGTCCATTGGTGGAGATTAAGTAAATTAGCATCATGCAAGAATATAAAGGTCTTTCCTGAGTATTTTAGAATTCAGAAGTGGGAATACAAAAAAGAGGTACCTAACCCCCACAGCTCTGACAATTTCACTTAAAGTAGACCATTCACTTTTAACTTTTAAAATTAAGTCAATTAATCATTTGTTGTATAATGTGTGCTCAGCATTGACAGCAGACTAAGCTAGTAAAGAATACCAGCCTCAACATAATTATGAAAAGAGTGGTGCCTTCAATGGTTCTTTGAATGTGGTGCCTTCAATGATGAAAATAATTACCTTCAATGACTATACAGAATGAAAAAGACTTACTCTTTAGGGCCATTCTTTACATTACCAGCCATGATGCTTCTTTACTCAAATCAATATATATTTATCATATCCTATGAAGGAAATCCCACATTGTATTAGAGCTGGTTGGTTTTGTATAGAGTGAATTGGAGTGACAATGCATTTCATACGGTATTCTCTCCCTTTTTCTTTTTTTCACCATCAGGTGAAATTGGGTGAAGATGCCCCCAATTCCAGTGTGGTACATGTCTCTAATTCTGAAGGAGGTGACAACAGTAGAAATGGTGCCCAGGTGAAGATAGTTGATGGAGGCGAGTGCCACCTTCTTGACTTTGCCAGCCCTGAGCGTCCACTGGTGGTCAATTTTGGCTCAGCCACTTGACCTCCTTTTACTAGCCAGCTGCCAGCCTTCAGCAAACTGGTGGAAGAGTTCTCATCAGTGGCTGACTTCCTGTTGGTCTACATTGATGAGGCTCATCCTTCAGATGGTTGGGCAGTGCCTGGTGATTCTTCTTTGTCTTTTGAAGTGAAGAAGCACCGGAACCAAGAAGACCGATGTGCAGCAGCCCACCAGCTTCTGGAGCATTTCTCCTTGCCGCCCCAGTGCCGAGTTGTGGCTGACCGCATGGACAATAATGCCAATGTAGCTTATGGTGTAGCCTTTGAACGCGTGTGTATTGTGCAGAGACAGAAAATTGCTTATCTAGGAGGAAAGGGGCCCTTCTACTACAACCTTCAAGAAGTCCGGCGTTGGCTGGAGAAGAATTTCAGCAAAAGATGAAATCTAGAATAGCTGGTTGAAGGTATGATTGTAAAAGAGTTTTTTTTTTTTTTAATTATGTAAAGGAAAGGAAACTAAGAACTGAATCCACTATTTCAACTGAGTCTCATTGTCTCCCTGAAAGACAGGAATTTACGTGTCAGAAGAACATAAGCTTCTAACATCTCCATACTTCTTTTACCACTCAAATGGCATTTGGCTAAATAGTAGCCCCATCACATCTCTTCCTAGTGAAAAGCCCTGAGTAAAAAGATCCCAAGATGTAGAGGAAGAAACCCTGTTTCAACATGTGTTCATCTGCCTTGGGAAAGAAGTAATACAGCTGATGGAAGCTTTGGGACCTGAAGAACAGACTTACCTGAATAACTACTACGTTAGGGAACTATTATCCTTGTTAGTATAAGGGGTATTGCCTAGGCTTTATTCAGTATGGATAGAGCCCAACTGGAAAATTCCCAAATATTTACTTATGATGAATCCTTGAGTCCAGTCCTTGTGCTTGGGACTTCGTGTTTAACAATGTTCAAGTAGTTTTTGCTGTTTTAGTTTCTAGCCATCTGGTGCTCTCTGCCAGTCTAAATATGCCAGAACTCACAGATGTATTGGTAGATATCAAGAATGATTCCTGGAGGGTTAGATTATCTGAAATCTGAGGGTTACTTTTTAGGCAGGTGGGAAAGTACTAGAAGAAAATCAAATTGACAAGCTAGGAAAGGATGCAGAAAGATGAGGAGGCTTCACAGAGTTTCACTTTGAAGCTGTGGAGAGTGGGACTAATTTGTTAGCCACCGAAACATTGAAACATAAAACATACATGGGCCAGAAAAAGAAGCAGCTCAACTATAATTAGCATTGACAATATACATATGAAATCAATATATTTATCATATACTCCTGAACTAAGGGAGAAAGGGGGATTGAAAGAGGGGAAAAAAAAACACACTTCATTATTTGTAATTATGAGAATTTTTTGCTGGAAATAATTACTTTTTGAAACATGTTTGTGGTATGTATATTTTCAGTTGATTAATTATGCCCTGTGATACTGATTAAATGTAAAACCAATAGATCCAGTGGTACTGGTCTGTCCCTCTCCATTCCTACAATTATGATGTGGCCCCACTCGTTCTTAGTCTTAGCCTCCACAATGGTGTTCTCTGAATGCTGAGCTGGACTCGGCTCTTTCTTTATTTATATATAAATAAAATATATTCTTAGCTGCTGTGGGAGGTAGGTGCCCTGGCCATTCCGCTGTGGTACTGTTCTCCCAAAGTAGGTGAACTATAATGAATAATAGGTGTGAACAAACAAGATTTCTTCAGCTGCAAAATAGAGGAAGGCAAAGTTAGTTTGAGAAAATTCTCATTAGTAATTTTGGAGGCTTTGATATAAGGCAACCCTCAGTGGCATGGAATTTGGTGAAATGGAATTTCCATTTCCATTTGAATTTGGACTGGGGTCTTCCTCTTCCTTTGTTCCAATTAGCTGAGGTCTGGTAATCTAAGGCCTCAATTGTACATTATTATAATGATATGTGTGTGTGTGTATATATATATATGTGTGTGTGTGTATATATATATATATATATATATATATATATATATAGATACACACACACACACCATATTTCTCTTTAAAGATACTATAGTTTTACCTGTAATGTAAGTAATAGCTAAATATCATAACCCCAAAAGAATAGACCAACTAATTTTATATCATAAATTTTTACTGTAAATTTGAGGATGCTGTCAAATCACAGTATATGGTTGTATTGAATGTACAATCAAACGTTCTTATGACCATTCCATTAATAATTGAATCATAAAATAAAAGTAATAGAAAAAAATCTCAAGTTGAAAATATCTTCTGAAACTAGTTGCGTCTGAAATGAGAAAAAGGTGGGAACTGAGTAAGAACCAAAAGTACATTAAAAACAAAAAAAAGCTGGAGCAATATATCAGTTCTATCACTAGTTTATTGTTTAGACACTAATACGTTATTTTAACTGATGATTGTGTTTTACAGCAACATTTAAGCTTTCCAGTGTCTTAAAGTCTATAAAACACACCCACAAAGAAACAAAGCAAATTTTGAAAATGTGGCATCATCTAATAGATTTCTGGAAAATCACATGGAGAATAGATTATTTCAGACTTCTCAATTGTTAAACTCTACACTCCAGAATGATCAGTGGGCCCCATTGTATTTTATCTTGAAAATGGTGTTAAGATTATGTGATCCCCTAGAAAAGTAAAATGAAAACTTGGTTGCAGCACACTCACTCTGTTGTCCTTAAACTTCCCCTTTGTTCTACATGTACAATAATGGAACAGGATGTTAGAGAAGCTGGTGGGGGGATGAGATTTGGCTAAGGCAGTGCTAGTTGTCTGGGTAAAAGGATGATGGAAAAAGCACCCAGTCGTGATATATTTTTAAGGAAAGAGAAGGTTGTGTGTGTGCAATTCCTCTCCACGAGGATACTCCAATGGAGAAATGAAGCAGTGGAAGTAAATACACAAAGGCATAGGCTGAATATCAGGGAAAAAGATATGTTCAATAGAACATAGAAGACTTTCTGGAAGAAAGGCAGTTAGGGGCCAATGAAGAAAGTGAATTGACAAAGCTCAGGAATCCTACAGTATGTAGAATGGCTTGGTGTTACCAGAGTTATGTAACCTATTTATCTCAACATGATTTTTTATTATTTCCTATGATGTATCTTTAGGAACATAACAAGAACTCATTATTTGAGGTAGAGGAGAATCAGTGCTTAGCTGGTATGCTCAGAGAAAGTATTAGATTGTCAATACCCACCCCACCTATCTTCTCTTTTATAGAGTATGTTCCTTTGAACAATTGTTATTCATATATATATATATATATATATATATATATATATATATACACACACACACAAACAAACTTTGAGTTCTTCTTAGTACCTAAACATTCCCCCCGCCCATAGGCTATGTTTACATGGAGCTATCAGTTTAGCCTTTTAAACTGAGTTAGCATATCTATTATTGAAATAGTTTCTAAGCAATTTTAGATATTATCATAGCATCTGGATTTACTCAAACATTTAGTGTTTGAAAGACTTATGTCTTGGAACTATTCAAACTTACTTTATTTTATTGCTTAGAGAAAATAGTGGAATCAACATGACTTTCTTGAATGGGCATGAATGAGATGCCTGCACAATGATGTTGAAATGTTTGATGTAGATATTAAAATGTAACTGACCTCCTTAGAGGCAGACTAGTAACTGCTCTTTGTATAGCTAAAGTGAAGCCATTTAACTTATATGACTTTTTATATTCATGTTTTGGATCTTTGGTACTATGTCTTCACCTTGTTTATAGAATTTACCCTTGATTTTTGGTAATATCAAGTTCTAAATGGTCTATTTATTTAAATTTTCTTGCCGTTAAGCAGAAAATGCCTATTCTATAACCAAGGAAAGAAGAAAAGCCTGCTGTCTTTGATTTTGCCTGGAGTGTATTTCACTATTTGGGCTCTTGAATAAAAAAAATATGAAATATGTTAATATGTTGAGGTCATGTGTGGGTACCGCCTTGCTGCATAAAATACCAGAGGGGCATATTAAAGACAATATCTATGCCTTTGGGAGAATTTCCAGCTGGACACAGGTGTTCTTAGCATGTCCTGTGGGTTATGTCCACAGCAAAAGGAATGCACTGATGTACAGGACTTCCCATTCTGTAAATCTGACTGATGGTTTGGAAAATAAGCTTAATTAGAATCATATGGCCCCTGCAAAGGGGGAAATGTAGATACCAATTACTGTACCATTGAAGGGTTCATGAAAACCTCTCCAGCATTTAGAGCTTTTCAGAACATGTCCAATGTCATGTCTCTCAGCAGTGGAGAATTCTAATTCCAGGAACTTAAAACGATATTGCCAAAAATCAGATCAAAAAAAAATTTTAGTTATATTCCAACTTTCTCCCTACTTTCTCCTTTATCTTAAAAATAGAATCCAAACTTAGTCTTCATATGTACATCCAGAATGGGGTATAAGTATCAATTTCTGCCTTGGTGATTTGCAATCTCTTCGTAGTATCTTGAGGTCCTCTGTGAAAGAAGGTAGTAGGGCCTGGGAAAGCCAGGAAGTTGCTAACCTGGAAGAACGAGGTCCTGTGAATTTGGTCTATTGATTTGGGAAGGTTTGAAAAGATAATTCTCACCATTGGAAGAGGGCTGCTAGGTGTCAGTGAATGACTTTAGGAAGAGCCAAACATTGGGCCACTTGTTAATGCCTTATGTTCTGGATAGCACCAGAAGCAAGGTCTCCGACTTAAGAGACCCAGCTCTGTTCTAAGGTGAGTCTGATACAATAGAAAGCAAACATGTACAGATATCCAAAAAAAACCTGCTCATGCAAGTCAGGGCTTGCTGCCCATCTTAGGCAGCAGTACCAGAGCTCTAGGGAGTTTATTTACTATTTACTGGGGAGATCTCAAGGACGAAGGAGATGTTAAATGTAGTCACTATTTGGGTTCCCCCCCTCCCCCAAAAGCAAACAGGTAAACACATAAATGAAAGAAGCCCACAGAAGGGGGTGGGAAATAAATTAAAAAATCTCTCAAGCCTTCTCCAGACTATGTCACTGGCCCATGTACTTTTTATGTGTGTTAGAATGAAAGAGTGTGAAGACATAAGTATCCAGTACTTTATAACCAAAGCAATTAAAAGAAATTGGGTAGGGAATGTTGGCCAGTTTCATTTTCTTTTGCATCACATTATCACCAGACTATATCACTAGCCCAAGCAGTCGGGCACCTGGAGAGGGAGATTGGGATGTGCAGAGGTGACCAGTGTGCAAATGATAACTACTGATGAAAGAGTCACTGACTCAGTTAGTGGTTGGATGTAGTCACATTAGTTTTCCTCTGCCCGTCTTTGTCTCCCTAGCAAGGAGAATATTTGGGGCATGATGCTATGGGCACTGGGTAAATGTGGTAAGAATGCATGTGTGTATTTCTCTGCTTCTCAGTTGCAGAAACAGAAACGCTTTGGAGATTATCAGTAGAAAGAGTGTTATTATATTGGTGCTGAGTGGTATGTGTGCTTTTAAAATTTGTTCTTGTATTTTAATAAATTTTGAATAAAAGAATAAAGTTACTCTTTGGTTCTGTTTGTTTATTTTTAAATTACTCTCTAGACCTTGCTCCTGGCTGGAACACATTCATGGTTGACAAGGGAAAGAGAATCCATCATTCTAATATTTATTCCTTGGTATTTGTGGGTAAAGACTCCGGCAATGCCAGGTTATTTTAATCTCATGCTGTGTGCCAGAGTCTTCAAGGAAATTAAGACAAGTTAGAAGAAAATCTTCAAATACTTTCCATATTTGTGAACAAGTCACACACAATTCATGGGAAGGGCCTTATTGAGATCATGGAGCAAACTTTTACTTTGTTAAATTTATGCTCCAGGTTTTTTAAGTGCTATAAATAAACTTTCCATGAGTTGGTTAAAGCCATATGTATGTGTGTGTGTGTATATATATATATATATATATATATATATATATATATATACACACACATATATAATATGTTTGGCAGTGTATTAATGTATGATGAAAAAAATTTGAACACACTTCTATCAACTACTTTGCATTATGAGAAAGTATAAAGGATATGAATGTTTTATGGAGGCAGTGGTCTGTTAATGACAAGAGATGTATTTGCAACATGGTTAAATATGTACACTTTAATCCTGGAAACAGGTGACTCAACCAATGTATTAATGTATCTTGAGACTCTGAACTTACTCATGGTTTCCTACTCATAATAATTTCATTAATATTTGTAGTATCTCATAATATTCCAGAATTTTAATGGAAATTTGAAGAATCATGACTGACAACTATTGACTGAGATTCTATTTAGGGGTATACCCTGTGCTGGGTGCAATAGGATGTGTAAAAGCCATGAAACAAAATTCACGAAGATGTGACTCCCCTTAGGAGCCTATCATGGATTTGTCAAGGCTCTGCAAGTGACAAATGTAAATTTGTCTTCAAAAAAAGAAAAAAAAGAATTTATTGGCCAATATAATGAAACCCTAGAAATGATTGGGATGAAACTTACCTCAGGGACAGTTTGATGGGTCCAAGGACTTAGAAACCTTCAGTGCTTGTTTACTAAGTCTTTTGTCTCTGTTCTTTTGGGGTGTCAGGTTTTCCTCAGATCAGCTTCTTATCTTGCGTGATCTCGTTGGGGGAAGCTCCTCACATTCTTTTTTAAATTTCATTGAGATATAATTGACATACAACATATTAGTTTCAGATGTACAATGTAACAATTTGATATTTCTATATATTGTGAAATGATTACCACAGTGAGTCAGTTAACATTCGTTACCATACGTAGTGTTAAAGAACTTCAACCTTAAATGGAATTGGAAGATAGAAAATGGGAAAATTCAGGCATATACCCTTAGAAAAACAAAACTTAAGGAACGAGAGATGATTTCCCATAAATGTCTAATTTATGGAAAACTGATAATATTGGAATTTTCTTAAATGATAGGCAGTTGGTCAGGGGTTGCCTCAAAGCAATGTTGGGAAGTTTCAATTATGGTTTCCAGAAGCAAGAATAAGAAATGACCCAGGTCAGGTTGGTCTCACAAGATAAGCTGAATTGAGCTTTGTTTGTGTGACTGGGCTGGTTTTGTCTGGTTAGGGAATTTTGAAAATTGGTCATTTGTTTTTGATTTTAACAGACCTAATCGAGTGCTCCCCAATTTGCACTTCCTGCCCATAAACACAGCTATGCCAAACCCTCAATGGGCTCACCGGTAGCTTGCTACATTTAATTGCAATTCCTCTGTTATATTCCTGAATAAATACATCTTTTTGACAATTCTGAGCTTGCTTCAGTTTACTTCTTTATTTAGGTGGACAATAGTTGCGAAAAAAGTTTTTTTATTAGGACTTTAGGATTTACTATCTTAGCAACTTTTCAGTATATAATACAGTATCACTAATGATAGTTACTGTGCTGTACATTACTTGCATTCTAACTATAAGATGCTTCAAATAGAGTTTGACCCTATCACCAGAGAAGGACTTGAATTGGGCCAGCTTGTGTTACATGTGGGTTGTGTTACATGTTGCCATGGTAACAGGGTCTGCTACCAAAAGGAGAGCAAGAAATACTGGGAATGTCCAAGGGTATCAGAAGTTAACTCTGTGGCCATTTCTTTAACTCCCCTTATAATGAGGGTTAAATAAGTGATTGGATGTGTATAATCAATAAGAACAAGTTCAGAGGAAGAAAGGAAAAAACTCTGGGTAGTGCTCTCAGAAGAGGCTCTGTGGAGTTTAAAATGAGTTGACGTAGGAGAAAGGGTAAGATTTAGATAGGAAGATGGACGGTCTTTCATTTAGTCAAGTCAATCTGTGTTTACAAAGTGTCCATTAGATGTGACTAAGAAAGCCAAATCAGTAAAAAAAATAAGACACTAAAATGGCCATCATCCTTAGGAGGGAGAATTCAATCCAATTCAGTGAAAGTTGAGAGAACTGAGGATAGGAAGCTATGTTTTTTATTTCTTTGTGTTTCTCCCTCTCTTGGGTAAGCAGGCATTTAAGTGTCTAAAATACAACCACCAATGGATGTTTTAAGTACCCACTAAGTGATAAACACTACCATCAAAATACTACACTTGGTGGATATATATACAAATGGTATGAAATATGGTTTTCTGCACCGTGTTTACAGTCTCGCTGGTAAATGAAAAATCTAAACATGATATCTAATGTACCAGATATAGACTCCAAATGTACTGAGTCAAAACCTTGAGTATTGCCCTTTAACTCCATCCAGAAGGACCTTCACAAGAAACCGGAGGGGGAAAAAAACAGAAAAGAGCACTTAAAAAATAAGAAAGTCTTTCAGCCAGCATTGAGCTCTTAAAGACATTCCAGGAAATTTTGTAATAAAATTCCTTAGTATAATGCCTTTTATTGGGGCATTTTGCAAAGGTATTCACAATCCTTTTCCAATTTTCACATGGGTGAGGATTCACTGTGGCTTAGCCATTTTAGTCCACTGCTGTGGGCTAGTTTTGTCTGTACAGGGGTAAGAGGCATAGAACAAACCCTCAACATATGCTAGTGACAAAACTTGGTAACTTTTAATAAGGAAAGTCCAAGGTCTGTTGTTGCAAAGTTCATGAAATGTCTGGATGAGCTTGCACACCTAGCTACTGAGAATTCAAGGGATCTACCTTCAGGAGTCAAGACGGGCTGGAACCCTGCTGCAGTTTGGCTCTTCACTTGCTGATATTTGTGGTTTAACTATCCAGGGGGGGGGGGGAATAATTCTGGGTCTTGCAGTTACCTATGTCTACTAGAATAGTGGCAAAGATTCCCGGTATCTCTTGATAAATTATGGTTATTTCAACTGGCCTAAACCAGGGAGAGTGGACTGAGAGAATGGCAGGGATCCAGGAACACATCCACTCCCACTCCCTCTTGAGAAAAAGTTAACTTCTGTTTCCTCCCTGGCTGTGCCACCCCCTTTGTCTTCTCTTGCCCTCCAAAACAGATAAGAACTTTAGCCTGACTGCAGTGAGTATGAGATGGGATAGGATGGAGTGGATTGTATAGTTGATACAGTCTATGTAATTCAGGCAAAAATCTTGATTTATACATTTTAGACAACACATATAAGGCAATTTAAACAATCTACTAATGTGTGCATACACCACAAGCCTAGGTATCCTCATAGGCCACTCCCATAAGAAGTGGAAGATGCACTTAATGCTGCAGGACAGTTATTCATCAGGTGATCCTACTCAGCCACCAAATTTTCATTGCATTTTGTGTTACTCTTCATCTATACGTTGTTAACCTATGTTACCTTAAGTGTTTAAGGTTTAGGTGCTTTACCAATTCTAATGGGAGAAAGATTGTAAATGTTTGATTTAGTAAAGATTCTTTATTTACATTATATTATATTATATTATATTATATTATATTATATTTATTTTATTTTTAAAAAGAAAGAGCTTGAGTGGGGGAGGGGCAGGAGGGAAGAGAGGGAGAGAATCTTAAGCAGGTTTCATGCTCAGCATAGGGCTTGATGTGGGCTTGATCCCATGACCCCAGGATCATGACCTGAGCCAAAATCAAGATTTGGACACTCAACCATCTGAGCCACCCAGGCACCCCTGGGTAAAGTTTCTTTAAAGTGAAAAAAAAAAAACCCTAAGGGAAATTTTAGGAATTCTTACCCTTTGTTGGTACTAGGGGAATCTAATCCATTTCCAACCATCATTATCTGGTGGAGACAAACCTCCCCTGCTTTTGTAATAGCTATGGTCTCCTTTGCCAAACCCAACACTCAACTGACTCCACTACTGACTGTAACCATTTAAGTGTGTTTCCTATTACATTTTAAGGATGTGTAACTATAGGCTCTTTATGTGTTATAATGACTGAAATCCCCTGAATTCATTCTTTACCACTATTTCTTATGGAAAAATTTGGGTGGGGGATATGTCTTCTTAGTTTGTGCAGAATTTTTAGAAGTATCCTCCTTTGGGTACATCAAGGAATGCCTACTTATATTTTGCAAAGTTCAAAGTTCTGGACTGCATCCACTCCTTCCCTTGTTCTTGTGCTCAGAGCTTCTATGAGGAGATTGGTGGGTGATAATTGGGTCGATATTTTAGTTATATCTTTAGAAGATTTGTCATTTTCTATTACAGGTAAACACTTATACACACATTTATAAATATATTATTAATAGTAATATATGTATTTTATTCCATGGCAAAAAGACAGTTACCTTCTAAACCCTAGAGAAAAAAGAATCCTCTCGTATACTTGAGGAGAGAGATATGTTGAACCCCAATTAAATTGTCAGTCATCATTCTAGTGACCAGATGAGAGTAGACCAATTATATTCCTACTGGGTATGTCATGATTGTAGAAAAGACATCAAGAAATTATCCAGGGCAAGGGCTATTTCTGTTTCTTGATGATTCATGTACATCTAGTTACACCCGTAGCCCAGAAACACCAAACGTGTTTGTATGTTGGTTTTGTGTGGAACTGGAAGGCCTCCAAATAACGTGCAAGTGGCAATAATCCTTTGAGTGCTGTG